ATATTTAGTAATAAATTATAGTTTACCATATATATTATATTTGATATTTTATTATAAGGCAAATATCTATTTATTGTTATTTCTATTTATTACTATTTCCATATCCTTGTAATTTATTTGATTATAAATAAGATAACTTTCACACCATTTAGGTGGGGTGGATTAATCAAACATTCACACATACTCTTCATTTGAAAACTATCGGACCAACGTGAGTCATTTCAGCATGTTTTGTCCTCACTTACATGCATCCTAGAATTGAGCCACTGAAAAATGTGTACCTTGTTAGTATAGAGAGTAATTTTCAATTCTTTTAAGCCTTCCATCCTCAAGATCGCTCTCATTCGATTGTGGTCTCGGTTCATTTATTTACCTCAAATTTACTCAGGTGTCACACACACGACAATTAATACCTCGAACAAATAATTATCAATTTAATTAAGAAATTTGTATAACTAAACCCATTTAGACCCACATTAATAATAACTATTTTTACCCGATTCATTTTAAACTCAACTCAAAATCACGTCAATAAAATTATTCTTCTCCCAAAATTTCAAAAAATTACGCAGAAAAAACCGCTCGGAAATATAACTTTAGGGTATAATTTAAATTCCTTTCGATAATAATAATAATAATAAAATTGTATGAAGGAATGCCTCATTGCAAAAGTCATCAAATTTGTCAATTTATGATTATCCTTATTAAGCCATCAACAAAGAATTCATCTCAAATTCTAAAATAAATTTAAAAAATTGATAGCAATTATTGAGTCTTTAATTTCCTAAAAATAAATAAATAAATAAATAAATAAATAAAAACCCTATGAACCATATAGTTTGAGACATTTATGTATACCAAACCTTACCAAACTGTGTAGAATTGAAGCTATCAGCTTCCCATTTGTTCTTCAATTTTCAAACCTCCAACTGCCTTCACTTAATTCAAATTCAAACAAATTTAATAATAATGTTCTTGTTTTACATTCTAATTTCTTACAAAACTAGTCAAATTCCTTTGATCGAAAACTTCTAGAAGTGATCGGAAGTAAAGGGTTTGAATCTGTTTTAGTCTCTAAACTTCTCGTTCTTAATTTAAATCTTTACGTATTTCGATATTAGATCGATAATAACGAATGGATGAACCTGATATCATGTTCAATAGGTGCATAGAAAATTTGATGAAGTATAACAAAAATGTAAATAAAATAAGCTGTAAATTGAGATTTCAACATTATCATTGATATCAACCGTTTGGATTCGCTAGAAAAGTGAATCTAAGAGACGTCGTAGTAAAGGAGAGTACAAACGGTTGATATCAATGAATTTCCTTTTCGATGGCTCAATCATAGTAACTCTAAGGTTAAACGTGTTTTTTCTGGAGTAATTCTATATTGGATAACCTGACCTCTGAGAATTTTTTCTAAGATGCATGTGAGTGAGGACAAAACATGTTAAAAGGACTTACGTTTGTTTATGGGGGATAGTCTTCAAAGTGAGTAACGTGACTATGTTGCAAGGGAATGTTAGGACCATTAGATGTCGATTCCAGATTCCGAATTGTGGGTGTGAGTTATGACAAATAGAACTAAGTCCACTTATATTTTTAGCCTCCCGGAGATTTGGAAAGACTTACGATTCAAAGAACGAGCGTAAGCCCATCATCGCTAGCTAACTTCATAAAAAGATTCGTGGATATTCATGCACGCAAGAAGTCTATCATGCCAATTTTGGGAGAAGGAAGCTTAAGCTCGAAGTCGAATCAATTGAGCGTTTTAGATAAAACCGAGATCTCCATTAGAGAAAATGTCCATTTACAAAGAAAGTTAGTCCACGATTCTTGTTCTTACCGTTTCATAGAAAAATTCGGAGAAAGTTTCACGAAGCGTTCAGAAGTCGAAAATGACCATACCTAAACTGTAACAAAAATGTAAACAAAATAAACGCTAATAAGATATTCCTGTAAAATCGATACTTCTACATTATCATTGATATCGACATGTTAGAACCCTAATTGCTCGAGCTAATTACCGATAAATATATTTGAAAGTTTAGAATTTAATTTAACAAAATTAGCCATAATCGAGTGGATAAATATTAACGAAAGTAAATGTAATAAGCCTCCTTAAATCTTTGACATAATCTCAGTTGGTATTGACTTATTAATTTATTCATAGTTAGATAACGCCTTGAATACATGCAGCTCATGGAGGGTAAGCTCCATACTTGATTGTAATTTTATAATCTATAGTTTTATTTATTCGCAAACCTTATTATAATTTTATAATATATAGTTTTTATTTATTTGGTTGAAGCGACGTATCAACACATAAGAGACAGTGAGAAAAATGACAAAAAAAGTCAACCTTTCTTACATCATTAATGCCTTCCTTGACTATCTTAATAAAGTGGGATATATTGTTTTTTATTATTATTATTATTATTATTATTATTATTATTATTATTATTACTTTTATGAAGAAGATTAATTGTTAGGTGGGGTTTTACCAAAGTTGTCTGACTTCCTTGGTAGACTTTAGATTTTTTTTTCTTAAATTAATAAAATAACATTCAACCAAATAGGAATAAATATAGAGTTTTAATTAATACATAAATATCGTAAATAAGAAGATACCATCTGTGCTCCCACGACCATCCAACCAACATAAAATTTGTATGCTAAGATGTATAAACCTCCATAGACCATGTCGTAAAGGCTAAGTTATGTACGATGTAGAGGAATTATGTAAGCATGCATGGAGGTTGTTTTGCATCCATGATTATAAGATATGGGGACCCTATGCATTTTTGTATGATACGTGCTACTATGACATGGACGGACGCGTATAATATGACATTATGTTTACGATGATGTAATGATGGTCTTTCCTTCCATGGTATTCGGCATAGAGCTCATTAGCGAATGCTAGCTTGACGAGCCAGGTGTTAGGGATCATGAACCTCCATAAAGGTATGATATTTTCCACTTTCTTCTGGTTTACCCAAAATGCCTCATACCAATGGAGATGCACTCTTTACTTAAAACCCGTGATTCGATCCTGAATTAGTCAATATGAGACTCCCTCCCAACAATTTTCCATAGCCCTCCTCCCAAACAAAGTACACCATAGAGCCTCCCGTAAGGCCTATAGAGCCTTTGAATAACCTCCCCTTAATCAAGGCTCGACTCCTTTTTCTAGAGTTCTCGAACAAAGTATACCATTTTTCAACCCTTGAGTCACTTTTGACTACACCTTCGAAGCTCACAACTCGACACTTGAGGATTTTATTGACATGAGTAAGTTAAGAGCATGACTCTAATACTGTTAGGAATCACAAACTTCCACAATGGTATGATACTGTCTACTTTGAGCAAAGCTCTCATGGCTATGCTTTTGGTTTCCCTAAAAGGCCTCATACCAATGGAGATATATGTGTTACTTATAAACCCATGACCATCTCCTTAATTAGCCAATGTGTGACTTCATCTCAACAATTCTTAACATAAGGCCCGTGTGAGCCCGTCTTGTGGACCCATGCTTGTGTAGGTCACGTGTAGGGAAGTAATACACATCCAATTTTGTCCGGACTAGAAAGCTACCTAAGGCCATGATATGCTATGTTAGAAGGGATCGTATAAGTCCCACCATGTTGCATGTATTTGCATTTTTCAACCTCAATAGTGAGGTTACTTACTGAGTATTTCTTATAATACACAAGTCATGTGCTACTCTTACATTTCAAGTAAAGGTAAGGCACCGCTGTACGAATGACGGGGGAGTCGACTTTAAAACTATGGAACTTGTGTTAGAATCGTTGCATTTTATTTATTTTGTAGCTCTTAGAATAGATCAAAACATTATTTTGTTCTTTTGTTTGTTTTAGTTAAAATTTGGCGTTATTTATCTTTCCGTTGTTTTGTTTTAAGACGTTTATTATGAATGTCTAAGTCCATACCCACTCTTAATAGATGTAGTTATTCTCCTCTTTATATACTAAGACAAAAGCAATCACGAACGTCAAATAGTTTAACCTTAATCATATACGTAACAAGCAAACATAATGTCAACACGAACCTAACTTAGTTCTTATAGCATCTGTAAGAGCTCAAATCCACTGTTAGCAGATATGGTTCTCTTTGAGCTTTTCTCTCAAGGTTTTTTAAACGCATCCGATAGGGAGAGATTTTCACGCTTTTATAAAGAACGTTTGGTTCCCCTCTCCAACCGATGTGAGATCTCAAAATCCACCTCCCCCCCCCCCCCCCCCCCCCCCCCCCCCCCCCCCCCCCCCCCCCCCCCCCCCCCCCCCCCCCCCCCCCCCCCCCCCCCCCCCCCCCCCCCCCCCCCCCCCCCCCCCCCCCCCCCCCCCCCCCCCCCCCCCCCCCCCCCCCCCCCC